ATTACTCTCTGGATTAGAGGCAGAGGGGGAAATACGTAAAGGAGATCTCGAGACCAGTCCATCAGGAATGCGTCTCCCAGAGAGTTGGTGTCCCGTCCCGCTCGGGAGCAGAATTGGGGACATTTCTTGTTGGCATCGGCTGCAAAGAGGTCTAGTGAGGGAGCGCCCCATCATCGGCACAGGTGCTGAAAGATGACATCGTTCAGAGTCCATTCGTGCGTTCTCGTAGGTAGCCGGCTGAGCCGGTTTGCCAAGGTGTTGTCGTCGGTGGAGAAGTGGACGGCAATAGGGAAAACAGGGTGGGAATAGCACCACTCCCAGAGGTCGACAGCTAGGTAGAGCAGAGAAGGGGAGTGGGTACCTCTTGCTTGTTGACATAAAATAGACCAGTGCTGTTGTCTGTTGCCAACTGCACTACCTGACCTCGGATGAGGGGAAGAAAGCATGGAACACTTTGATGTTTGCCAACAGTTCTAGGTGGTTTATGTGAAGTGGCAGTTCTTGACTTGACCACAGTCCACGGACTGTGTGTTGAAGGCAGTGTGCACCCCACCCCGTGGGGCTGGCGTCGGTCATGACCTGTGTGGAAGGTCTGAGAGGTGAGAAAAGCCTGCCGATGAGAAGGTTGTCGGGGCGAGTCCACCAGCTGAGCTATGAAGCTAGTTCTGGTGTCACCTGCAGCAGGGTAGAAGGGAGATCTGTTTCGGGATTGAACAGGGAAAGGAACCATGCCTGCAGGGATCTCATTTTGAGCCTGGCATGTTGGACGATGGCCGTCGTCGATGCCATGAGCCCCAGGAGGTGTTGGTCGTGATGCGCCGAAACAGAGTGATGTGTTTGCAAAAGGCGAACAGCCTTTTGGATTTTCCTGATCCTGTCTGGAGGCAGGAAGGCTCTTGCATGGAGAGAGTCTATTTCCATGCCTATGAACTTGGCCGTCTGCTTTGGGATCAAGTGCGACTTCTCGAGGTTGATCTTGAGGCCGAGACTGTGAAGCGTATGGAGCGTTGTGTCTCGTGCTGTTATGGCGTCGTGGTACAATGTCACCACTATCAACCAGTCGTCAATGTAGGGATAAATGTTACTCCCTGCAGCCGGAGGAAGGCAGCCACCGGTGCCATGCACTTGGTGAAAGTCCGGGGGGTGGTGGAGAGCCCGAACAGGAGGGCACAGAATTGGAAAGCAGTGCCATTGAAATGAAACTGGAGGAATTTCTGATGGTCCGGATGAATGGAGATGTGGAAATAGGCATCCTGCAGGTCGATAATTATGAATCAGTCTCCCTGCGAAAGCAAAGGGATAATAGAGTCCAGTGTAAGTATGTGGAATTTGCGGGGAGATATGAAACGGTTGAGGTGAGTGAGATCAAGGATGGGGCGGAGGCCTCCATCTTTTTTATGAACAGTAAAGTATGTTGAGTAGAAACCGCTGAGGGAGTCCGAAGTAGGGACTGGAAAAATGGCATGTTTCTGGAGAAGCTTGGTAACCTCGTCCTGCACAGCAGAGGAGTGGGGGTGGGTATCGAATAAACCCCAGCGGGGGTATTTCGGAGAATTCTATGAGGTAGCCAGATGCTATGATGGATAGAATCCATTTGTCTGAGGTGATGGATTGCCAACGATGGAAAAATGGGGCCAGTCTGGTACAGTTCAGTGGGTAAAGAGGAATGTCAGAAAAGGCAGGCATGGGTAGTTGTCAATATTGCTTACTCTTTCGTTGCCCTTTACGAAAGGACTGATGCTGCCGAGGTAGGCTTTGAGGCCGGTATGATGCC